CCCCCTCAGCCCTCTTCTTAGCAGACTTCCGGGTGCGTTGGTAAGACACCTCCCTCCGGAGCACGCGCTCGCGCTCGCAGGTTCCGCCCCGCCCCGCCCGGGGAACGGGCTCCCGACTCGCTGCTTTCCCGGGAAGCCTCCGCGCTGAACGCCGCCCTGGGCGCCTCGGCTGCCTTTCCGCTGATCAGTGTCTGTGCACCATAAAGCCGCCCCCCCTCGACTTGACCCTGTGCACCGCCCAGAGGCTCCCCCCCGCCAGGCCCTCCCCCCCCGCACGGGCTGCCCCTGCCAGCAGGGGAGCACGGGTGCTGAGTGGGCACTTGCAGAGTGGAGAATTGGGGACATTTCTTCTCTAAGGCCTAGAAGGACCAAAAGATGCTCATGGCTGCAAAGGCGGCCAGCGAGGTGACCTGAAGAGAGGACAGCGACTGGACACAAAGGCAGGAGAATGCGCGCGGGAGAGGACTAGTTATGGAAGCCGCCGTCAATATGAAACGTTGCCTTCTAGAGTGAGCGGGAGAGACGATGGGAGGACTAGCCATGCAGCTGGAGGCAGTGGTGTTGTCTGGATGAGGACCTGAAGGAGGAGAGAAGAGGGGATGGTCTAACAAACCATGATTTGTCTACAGTTGGAGAACAACGGGACCCAGAAAGCAACCCACTAAATACAAGTTGAACGTGGTCGCAAGGACAAGACAAAGGAAGAAATCTGCTAGCAGAGGAAACACAGAATTGATGAAGTTTCCTGCAAAGCAGGTTGAGATGGAGAAGAAAGCAAGCCAGTCTCCACAGATCAAAGAAAGTGGTAATGCAGGCAGCTGAGAACCAGAACCCAAGGAGCAAAGAGGATGTTACACGGGTGATTGGGAAAGATAACAGAAGATGGAGTGACCTGCTGACAGAAAAGTGCAAAAGGGAGAGAACCTGAGACTCTCGCCACCACCAAGAAAGTGTGAAATCACAATTGAAAACTGCAGTAAGATGAATCCACAGGTCCATCACCAGAGTGGATCCAGAGAAGACCAGAACAAGAACACAAGATATGCACCTAAGCCTGAAATGATGCTGATGTGCAAAGAGAAAAATGCACTGGTGGTCTGCACGCCAGGACAAATAACACTAGCAGATTCCTGCCCAAATGGACTGGAGACAACCGTGCCAGGCTGCAGGTGTTCTAACGAGCAAAGGCTCAGTTAATCTTCAGCAGAATTCCTTCAGTCCCTAGAGAAAGATGAAGAAGGCATGACAAGATGATGAAGATCAGCAGATGGATCAAAAATTGGTTCAATGAAGAATGTTTTGGGGTGTTGAGGATAAATTCCTGAAAAGAGGATTCTTCTTAAAAGATGCACTACCCCCGAGTCCCTGGGGAAGTAACCTGGAAATGAGGCTGTCAAAGTCCTTTCCTTGAGGGCATTGTCTGTGGTGTCCTTGGCCCTACTCCGACTCATGCCCTTAATGTATTCCCTCTTGCATTCCAACTTTTAGTCAGGGCAGGATGCCTCGCCCCTTTTCTGACAGCTCAGTACTTGATCCTTGGAGCCAGCAGCACTAGCTCTTTTCCGCTCTTTTGGAGCCGACTGACAGACTTTGAGGCACTGGAACCACCCCCAAGGGACTGATGATCTATGGACAAACCATATGCTCTGTTGAGGCTGTGCAGAGAGAGGGGCTTCTCACTGGAGAAGCAGGAATAAACTAACCTGAGAAATAAGACAAAAAGGAGGCTTCCGTGCCCGTGACAGTGAGTGAGCCAATTGGGTCCCACACCCCCAGGCCCTGGCCCCTAAAGGTTTTGCTCCATCTCTCCTCCATCCTTTCCAGCCAGCAGCACAGCCCTCAATGTGTCAGAGACAGACTGAGAAGGCAGCCTTTAATGTAACAGGGCTAGGCTCACAACATCTTGCTCCTTAGTGGGACAGACACCTTATAAAGGCCTAAAGGAATGTCCTTCCAGAGGACTAAATCTTTTCTACACATTACAATACCCAGCCACAGAAAGTCAGCTCTTCTCAATGGCAACAATAACCATCACTCAGAAATGGGAGCCTCTCCCTTACAAATGTGTTCCTTCCCTCACCTACCACTGCAGGCCGCTCATCACTCTAACATGCTCCCCTCTTTAGTTTATCTGTTCCCTGTCTCATCCCCCCCATATCAAGGTTTTGGCATTGCTAGTTACTGCCTACTCGTCCTATATGTCCAATAGAGACTCTACACTTTTGCAATAGCTCTGAGAGGAGCAGATTTAAGCCATTTAAGCACAGCTGCTTTCCAGTCTGGCCAGTTATTTGTCTTTCCTGACACTTTTGGAAAGGAGTGGGAAGGGTGTGTTGTATTTCCAATTAAAACAAAAACAACCAAAAAGAAGAGGCCACGTGCTGAATTCACCAACATGCAATATTTTCAACACTAGGCAGAGGTGAACATGGGTACAGTAGCATGCTGCATGTCCATAACGACAGATTTCTGACCATGGCTGCTGTATTAATTTCCTACCATGGTCAGGATGATCATGTTGTTTCAGTTTTCAATGGAAAACACCTATATCCTTTTCATTCTTTCTGGATTTTGCCAGCAGTCATTACTTGCCCATCAACCCCTTTGCCTGCCAGTGCTCAGTCCAGTTTCTTTTTTTCTATGTTAATGATAAGCTGTAAACATGAATGAATATAAGCTGTGGACATGTGATAAACCCTAATGCCATGCTGATTTCCCATTCCAAAGGGTGCACCACTGTGGTTCTGAGCCTTTCCCTTATACTTGAGCTCACTCTGCTCTAATAAACCTGATCCAACTTTCAGTGTAAGATATTGCCATCAACTTCAGTGGGAGCAGGAATAGGCCTCAGGTCTCCACAGTATTTTGAACAACCAAAAAAAGTTAATGGGGCTTGTTTCTGTAGTCTTGCCTTATATAGCAGTATAGTGGAAGGGCAGTTAATTCCCTAGAGAAGGAAATAAAAGCCCAAGAACCTAGAAAATCACTATAGTTAAGTTAGAGTCACAAGTGTGTAAGGGATGTCAGAGCTGTAGCTTTTAAAGGGCCTGCTTTCACCAGAAGATGCTGTTCCTATCATCTTGATCCAACCCCACCTCTAAAGAGCTGACTAGTCAGAGAAACCAAACACATGACAACTCCTTTTTCAGTGCATTTTGAGGAGGCTTCAAACTATACTGACAGAAGCAAAGCTTGCCTGGACCCTGGTTTTTCTCCTGGTCAACAGCAGATGCTGGTCGTCTTTTGTGGGACTGCAGGAATGAAGCACAGCATAGCGCAAATTGGTTCAACCTTGTTGGTCACCTTCCAATACCATGCATGGCATCCAGTCCAAAATTCCTCCTCTAGTCCTGGAGTGGCTGTGAACATCACTAATATAGGATCCAGTGCACAACAGGTTAATAAACAAACAAACTACAGTTTTGAAAAGGCCTGGAAGGAATCTTCAGTAAGCAGAAAACCCAGTCCAGCTGTCTGCTCCTGGAGGCAGAGAATTCCAGGTATAGTTTCCAATAAAGGACCTATGTCTGCTCCATGCTCAAGATTCTGCTCTTTGTATCTTGCAAAAGGTAGAGGAGGAACTCCAATTAAGAATCCTGGAGAGACAAGGCTCTAGAGAAGGGGGTAAAGGCAACAGTTGAAAGAAATAACTGTACGGGAGCTAAAGGTCAGGATGGAGACAAAGATCTAAGTTCAGTTGTCAGCTTCATCAAAAACCATCTGTGAGCAGAAGCAAAGCAAAGGGCTTAAATTTCCCTCTGCACCCTGATACTTACATACATGGAACATGGATATAACATACTACTGACTCAGGATGGCAGAGTGACACATTCAGTTCGCACAGATGCGATGGGATGCAATGAGTATCTCTGTCTTAGATCTCAAGTCAATAAGATGGGGATAAAACAGCATTTCCTACCTCCCGTGTCTTCTCTGTGCAGAGCATGAGCTCTTACAGGAAACGTCTACTCTGCATAAGTATAGCATCTTGTAAAACAGGTCCCTGATCTGGCCTGTGGCGCTATTAAAATACTTGTAAGAAATCCACTGTTGTCCTTTGTGTTAAGAAGCAATCCACCTGCATGTAGATTTTTTTTTCTTTTTAATGCAAAAAAATAACCAAAACACATCTTCCTCCCCTGTCCCCACCCCTGGGTCTATTTAATTTGTTGTCATCTTGTTTAATATTTCCAAACAAGCAGATATTCCCCTACCCCTCCCAATTCTCTGCAATTCAACAGCTGAACTGAGCTTTCCTTCCTCACCTCACAGCCAAACGAAAGAAATCTGTGAAAGAAATGGGAGGGAGAGGCAGTCACACAGCGAAAGTAGCAAGCCAGTCCTAATCCTGCAAATTAAGGGAGTAAAAAAACAAAAACACCAAACATAGCAACTAGCATGGTACAGTTCCCAGCGTGCAGCGTAAACAGAAGGTGCTCCTAGGCCCAGAGTCCAGCTCTCCCAGGAAGCAACAGCACAACACACGCTTTATACATCCAGGAGGTCAGCATTAGGCTAAAGGGAGGGCTGTGTTTTCTTTTCTTTCTTTTTTTTTTTTTTTTTTCTAGCTCGAGTTAATTTTTCTCTTTTATGCACAAGGCTTAAGCAATCTCAGTGTCTTACAAAAGCATCTGCAATAAAAAAACCTAAGGGGTGAGGGAGGGGAAAAGGAAGAGGCAGGATTTGGGTTAAATAACCCAAAACTGATAAGAGCAGCTCAAGGATTTTTGCACCTGGCAGATCTGGAAGGGAGAACAAACCAAAACAAACAAACAAAAAACCCCCAAATCCCACCTCCTGTTGGGTAGGAAGAAGGACTAAGAACACAAGAACAAGGGTTGTTGCTTTCTCCACCAAAAGCAAATTACCAGCATAGTTGATAATGAAGAGTTAGACAGAATTCCCTTCCCTGGGGAAAAAAATGAAGATGAGGTACTGGTTTCCCCCAAAGCAAGAAGCACCCCCTTCCCAGGCAGATCAATGCTCCAGTTACTCTGGGAACAGTCTTCCCGCATTAAAATTGTCCTAGCAATGATCAGGTCTGGACAAGAAAAGAACCCCCTCCCCCCAGCCCCCTAAAACCCAAGCATGCAGACTGTCCCATTGTGCAATCTCAGGAAGAGGAAGCCTTTGGTCCCCTTCCTGGGGTCTGTGGGGAGTTTAGGCAAAGGAATTCTTCCTCCTCCCTGCAAGCAGTAGGTTTTGTCCATGGCTCTGCAGAAAAGGAGCCTTTTCCTTGGGTATAAGTGTTTCTCCAGCTTTTTTTTTTTTTTAAATAATTGTTAAAAAAAAAGAAAGAACAAAACCCATGGGAACTAACAGGGTGGCTGTAAAAATTAGTTCAACAACAAAGAAAGCAATCCTCCCCTTAACCATGAGATTCGCTTTCCTGGCTAGTCCTCCAAGACCACAATCTCTACATTGTGGACCTGGTGCTGATGGTCCTCAACCTCTGCCACCACCTTCTCCTCAGTCCTCAGCTCTGTTTCCAGAATCACAGCTTTAGCTTCTGACTCCTCAGTCTCTGCTTCAGGATCTGGTGCTGGGTCTATCTCTATGATGGTCTGTCCATCTTCTGAGGTGCCCTCAACAGCTTGGATGGTAGAGGTCAGGCCAGACTCCATGGCCACCAGTTCCACCGGGTTCACCACTGCAGCCATGTTAGCTATGGCACTGCTGTCCTGCATAGCAGCTGAGCTCAGCAGTGCCAGGCTGGAGGATGGATGAAGGGTCACAGTGTCAGATGAGTTAGTCTTGGAGGATGACACCACAGTGGTATACCGGAAAAGCTGCGAGCCAGATGGCAAGGTGTGAACAGTCATCGGGCTGGAGCCCTGGCTGATGGTTGCCACTGGGATGTTGCCTACTGAGAACTGTTGTCCCATAGGTGCAATGGCAATAGGCGATATGACCGTGAACTGAGGCTGCTGGATGGGGGTAGAAGGACTTAAGACTGTGGCTGAAGCAGGGCGCTGCAGGCGGGGTCTTTTAGGGGGCTTTGGAGCACTGACGGGCATCAGCACCACATTCTGGATAGTCTGAGACTTTGCCTTCTGATCCTTGGCAAGCTTCTTCTGCTCCTCCAGCTGACGTTCCAGGTCTGCAAATAAACCCAGTTACAAAGCATATTCAGATAAAGCTGGGATCACCGAGATTGCTGGGATATACTTGAGGCCACCAGGAATAGCTGCAGTCATGTACTCTTTTTATTTTACAGTGGGGCTCCCCCCAACCCAACTGCAAACCAGTAGGGACAAAAATCTCCCTTGAAGCACAGGGCAAGACTGATCACTGCCCTCAGCTTATGCAAACATTTACCCACATTTGCTAAAGTTTCACACCCCCTTGGCACCTGCTTTGAGCCAGTGCAAATGTCTACAAAAGCCACGAGGCAAAGGAAGATCCAAACCAAGGGCCTGGGCCTTCCTTTCCTTTCCTTTCAGGAGGCATCAACTTTTGCTTATCTGCTCACATCTCCCATTTCCACTGTGTGGGAAATGGGTGCCATTGCAGCTCAAGTCTATTCCAGCTGAAGAGCAGACAACCTTTCCAGAGACAGTGAGTGCCAGCTCCTAGCCTTTGCTGGATGCCAGCTCAGAACAGACGGCATCTGTATGCTGCCACAGGGGATGGAAATGCCAAAGTCTCCCTCAGACCTCAGTGGCTCAATACAAATGTATCACCCATTGATCCTCAGCTGAGGTAAAACTAAGAAAAACCGAGAAGGAAGCAGCTTAAACAACTTTGGATTAAATTTCCTCAGTGAATAGAAAACACCAGCCTAGTATCAGCTGTGCAGGATTAGACCAAAGGTCCAGCATGGCTAACATGCTGATGTATGTGGTGGACATGCACACCCTACTTCCTTTGACCAACTGCTCATCACTGAGCTACGGATTCTGAGAGACTCTTAATTTATCTTCAGGATGAAAGGGGAGTCAAATGCAGAAGTTTCATGATGCAGCGTCTGTAACATCAATTTACAGCACTGCATGAAAGCACCAGCTGTTCGTAGGATAAGGATAACTTAAGGTTTTAAATAAAAAGGAGCAACATGTTGCTTTGCATGTGTTCAATGTCACAAGAAAGACAAGTCATGTCAGCTGTAGAAAGCAGCGAGGAGTTTCACTAATAAACATTTCCCACATACTGGTTGTACCTGCTAGAGTATAAAGAAACTGCTCTTCTCCCTGATTCGTCTGGCTTTTCCTGTTATCCAAAACTTTCTTGACAGTGTCCATCAAGCCAAAAGTGTGAGCCACATTATTCAGGACTGCAGCATCTGCAAAGAAACCTCACATGGATTACTATCCAATTCCTTAGGTGGTCTGAAAGTCCAATCAAGGAGCTCGGAAGGTGAGATCCTTTTTGAGATTTACTTATTGGACTTCACATTTTCTGGGGCTTTCTATAGAAAGGGCTTACTTTTTCCAGGAGTGCAATTCCAGAAGCCCTGGGTGGCAAAAGAATTCCCATTGCCTTCTCCCCATAACATTGACCCCCATCAGTTCCCAATGATGGAACAATCCCATTCATTACTTAATAGATAAGAAAGAGATGCATTGTGGCATCAGCTCAGAATTCCTACAAAGTGAGCATGGTTTGCTTATGAAAATCTGTCAGCTCTCTGCCCACAACACTGGGACTATCATTAGTTGCCACCCAGGTGGCACCAGTATTTCACACCTGGGGAACTCCCTTCAGTTTACCTCCCACAGATAACTACACTATGCTCTCTCAAAGGTCCAGAGTACTACATCAGCAGGGAGGCTACCAGCCTCCAACTCACCCGTGATTGGGAAGGAAGACTGGCCAAGCCGCTGCTGAACTCCTTTCAGCACTTCTTCAATCTCCTTCTGGATGTTGCAGACCACCTCCTCCATCAGTCCCACATCAGCTATGCCTTTCCAGAACATCAGCGTGTCCTCTGGCATAGGAAGAGGAAGAGACAGGAGGGGGAAGAATTCGACACGTACAAGCATTTGGTATTTTCCTGCAAGGCTACATTAAAACCATTCCAAGAGCAGCGAGCTGTCATGCAGCAGTAACTTGGGGAGCCGGCTTCTAATCTGGCCATCAGGGTGGATATGACATGCAAAAAAAATAAATAAAAAAATAAAAATAAAAAAATGGAACTGGGAAGTCAACATCACTAATGAGGACTTTCATATAGCTTACAACTTTAAAAGCAGCACTTCACTACCTCTGCTTTTCTGCACAAGACACAGAGCTTATAGTCTTCACTTGCTGGCATGAGGGAACTCTATCTAAGCTTCTGGACTGGTATCAGGAGGGCCAATGAAGCACCTATAACAAGAGTGCAGGGAAAAACTGGATGGTTCAGAGGACTGGTAACAAGTGGCAAAATGTCCTGCCTCTAGATCCCTAGCTTAAATCCAGCTGAGGCCAACAGGGACTGAAAATGGTGCTTGTCTGATGTTGTGTCCCCAGTGCTTTACACTCTCCTAATTCAGGCTGCACCAGGGGTCTCAGTCTTGTTTCTGGGAGACAGATGTCTGCCCCATTAAAGAGAAAAAAATATCACCATATCATATCCAGCACTAGCCAACCGGGTCAGTCATTTCAGCAGAGACCAATAGCAGAATGGGCTTGAAAGAATGAACTCACCCTGTCAACTCAGAGCGGCTAGGGAGATCTATTCTGGCAGGCATTACAGGCGTACGTGGCAGAGTGAGGGGGAAATTTGCATTACCGTTGCCTGTAGCATACCTGGTCTTGGGACTTTAGTCTCCAAGAGTGGGAGGGGGAATGGAAAGAAGTGGCAGAGACAGACAGACAAAGTGACCTTACCCGAAATCTCATCATTGTCCTTCTTCATGCCCTCCTCAGTGGCCATGGTGACAGCAGCTGTCAGGGCAGAGTTCCACTCAATCCCCTCCTCCATGCTCTCCTCAGAAAGTGCAATCTGGGTGATGCTCCCTGCAGGAAAAGAAATGTCAGCTATCTCAGCAGCACCAAGTCTTTCACTTGAGAATCCTTAGCTTTATGTGTACTTTCCTAGTGTTTTTCACTCTCCTAATTCAGGCTATTTGTGTCTGGTGCCTATATATCAAACTTGCTAACAGCAGAAATTGTTTATTCACAAACATGATTTCAGAAGGAAAGTCACTAGGATGGAAAGGCACTCACATACCAAAGAATAAACCAGAGATGTTTTCTGGTGAGAAACACAAGGGAACAGAGAAAATAAGAGAAACCTAAGGAGAAAACTGGCAAGTAGCCTAGAGATTTATCTTCCCACCACAGTTGTAAAATAGGTTTCTCTGCATCAAATCAGACCATGGCCCATCTAATCTGGCATCACATTTCACATACCAGCCCTCACTGAGACAGACAGGAAAGTAACCAAAACAGCAGCAGTGCAGATGGGCTTCCTTACTGATCTCTGCAAAGAAAATGGCTTATGCAGCAACTCATGCAATTTAAGTTCCCTTAACATTTCCTGTTAAAAATGCTATTCATCATGTAAAGTCTCCAGCCACAGGATTTGAATCTTTGACCTTCCAGATAACATTAAGCATCTGACTCTGAAGGAGCCCTCAGATGTTATTTTTACTTTGGGGGCACGTGCCATTCATGACTCAGCAGCTGGGGGGGGG